AAAAATACGCTAATAAAACAGAATAAATACGATAGTAAAAAGTATATAAATACGACAATAAAATAGAATAGAAATGCGCTAATAGAATAGAATAAATACGATAGTAAAAAAGTATATAAATACGACAATAAAATAGAATAAAAATACGCTAATAAAACAGAATAAATACGATAGTAAAAAAGGTATATAAATACGACAATAAAATAGAATAAAAATACGTTAATAGAATAGAATAAATACGATAGTAAAAAAGTATATAAATACGACAATAAAATAGAATAAAAATACGCTAATAAAATAGAATAAATACGATAATAATTATAAAAATAAATATTCGATAATATAATATAATATTTACGATAATAATAAAATAAAGTAAAATATGAATATAATAATTTAGATATTAAAAAATAAATAAAAATATGAAAATAATATACAAAGAAATTCGATAACAATATACGATCCAGTGAACCGGACTCCTGTCAACACTGACATAGGGATTGTCACCAACAGATTTAAGCACATACAACCATGTGGAAAGGGTATGTATGCTCGTACCTGCAGGGCCAGATATGTCCGATCCAGACTCATCTCAATCTCACAGGACACTCGGATCATGCCCAGATCTGCAGGCGGGATGAGGAAGGGAAGTGAACATCGATGCAAGAATAGGATTGTTCCCACATGATTTGCATAAGGCTCGGTACAAATCTGCAAAAGACTCGTCTCATGATCACCGAATGTGAATAACGTTTATATCACTCTAGAGCCAAACTTTGCACTGTGGTTGTATCGCGTGAAACGCATTTCGAAAACGTGTCCAAGCGCCAGTGTGTGTATGACGCAGTGTGTGTAATGCGAACACCATGCCGTACAAATAATAAACGCAGAGACCATCAATGGAATTACATGTACCGTCAGAGGACACCTGACACGTGACATGTAGGTATGTTTCCCAAACATGACATGTAGATATGATTGACGAGGGCTCGAGTGAGTACAAAGCACATCACATCTGCGGCCGAGTGCAGTACACTTCAGCCGCGGCACACCAGCACATCTGTTGCACCGATAGCGTGCCTACAGACAGCACCGCATGATGCTACTTCACGATATATATATATATATATATAGATATAGATATAGATATAGATATAGATATAGATATAGATATAGATATATATATACTTGCAAGCCACTTACAGGGCCAAGTAGAGCGTTCTGCAATTGTTGCGCACTTGGCCATCCATTCCGCCTCGGGGTTGTCTAGGATTTTCAGATAATCGACATAGTCTGAATACAAAGGTCGACAGAGCGCAAACAAGAATGGGGTTAGATTCTATTAGATTCCCTCTCTGGACTTAAAAATCAGGATGTGAAAAACCCCAAAATACGAATGCGAATATAATTGGAGATGTTTGAGATACGGAAACGCAGGTGATAGGGGCTTCAGATTGATACGTCTTTGGACTATAAGCAAGTGACAGGATCAACTACTAAGTCCGTGCCCACCTGGCTATTATACCTCAGTGGCAAAGACGTCATATGTGCCAATATCTACTTGTCGAGACAACATAACCTGAACTCTGATACACACGTACAACCCTGAACACCAATCAACCCCAAACCATATACCTATAATACAGTCGAGGATGTATTTGTGTACGATTTTGCGGTACGCTACAGGTAGCAGCGTGAAGTGGATAGGCCACTCAACGCTCCATCCCCAATTGGCAGAGGCTTTCTCGCGGATCAAAGCTTTCGAACAGCCTACTTACATCACCAAACATATGCCGCAATCATACACACATCCTTGCTACACACATCTGCATACACACACGTCCTTGCTGGCACTTGCATATATATGCATACAAATATATGCATACACACACTCACACATTTGAATACACACATACACACATCTGCATACACACGCATACATACATCTGCATAAACACACACATTTGAATACACACACATCCATACACCTGCATACACACATACATACACACACACACACACACACACACACATAGCATATTCCCTCGCCCCCTGAGCAGACGCACATACCTATATCCGGGACTATAGTGATGTTTCCCTGGTACTTCTGGTTGATGATGTCATGCGCAAAGCCTGCGCCATATATACCCATTTGGGCCGCCTGAGACAAGCGGTAGTGGAGCTCACCACTGACCAACTCGTACATGCGTGGGAACCACCGTCTCGCAGTCATCACAGGTAGGTTCTGGTGCACAAACGGCACGATGTGTGGGTTCACCTGTATGGGTAGGCATAAGAGCGGATGCAAGTGCAGAGGGTGAGATAGCGTGGGACGGTACAAGACAGGTGAGCTGCGCTGGGGGGTGGGTATGGGAGGCGACAGACAAGAGTCTACAGACTACTTCTGTGTGTGCGTGGCTGTGTCTTGGCGACTCAGGCGGAGATGACAAAGGATGCAAACGACTTAACACGAACCATGCACCAGGTGGGTTCACTGGACTTTAACTGTGCACATGTAGCCTTAAATCTGTGCACATATAGTGTTGAATGCGAGTTCGCTTTGGGGCGGTGAGTGGAGGTGTTTGATCTCAGATTGCATGAAATGCGGGCACGCGACAGGTCACAGTACGCTATCACTGAACTGTTGCATGGATAGTACTGTCGGTGCAGATACACCGGAACAGTGACATATATATATGTGTGTGTATGAGTGTGTGTATGTGTATGTACCATAGCTACACGTATATATGTAGACATAACTAGCAATGAGATAACTCCCGCGTACCTGTGACACGATGAAGTGGTTGACGTTGAACATGCTCGCTAGCCGTGTCATGGGAATGTCACTCTGAACAGAGCCATCCGACCAGCTATCACCTGACAGATCCCACTTCACTATATCGCCATTCTTATCCTTCGCCATAAGCTCCACAGGGCTGTAACCAATATATATAAATACAAATATAAACATAAATATACTTTATATATATATATATATATATATGTATGTATATAATAGGTCGATAGATGTGTTTGGTGATTCCTTCAGCCAGCACTTACGACAGCAAATAGTCACGCCACTCCCTTCCACAGCACCACATTACAAGTAATAAGGAAAATCAGTGTAGCAGGTGGGACTATCCGCGCTGATACTTTGAGTATGCAAGTACAATATTACAATACTTGAATAAAATAGCAGATACATATTTACTATAGACATATACACTTAATCTCTTGATATACCCAGATATAAACACATACCCAAATAGGAAAGGCACAGCACCACATTGGGGGCAGTCAGGTACTTCAGCAGACGCATGTATCCATGCTGGTGCTCTAGTAATACATACTACGTTTTCAACTATACTCGCATACATATACATACAGACATAAAACCGATATACACCCATCGCTACGTCAACATCATCACACACACACACATACGCAAACAGGAAGGGCGCGGCAGAGGAGGCAGCCACAGCACTCCACACCACCACATTGGGAGCGGTCAGATAGTTCAGCAGATGGGGGTCTCCATGCTCATTCTCTGAGCACACAGAGATGTTGACTATGCGGCGCGTGAGGTTATAGCTCTCCTGGAACGTAACATTGCCTATGTGGCTCTTGACTGCGGCCAAGAGGGTTTCGGTAGGGGCCAGCATACCCTCCTCAAACAGCCGCCGCAGTTTGCGCAGGAGTGGGTATTCGCAGCTATGGTAGGTAGGTATATGCGAGTGTATGGTGATTTGAATACGGGATATGGTATGGATAAGATTACGAGCACCAGTGGAGTGTGGATGTGTAGGGGGCTGCGGTAGGTAGGTATAAGCGAGCGTATGGTGACTTGAGTACGGGATAGGGTATAGAGCTAACGAGCACCAGTGCAGTGTGGATGTGTAGGTGGATGCGGTAGGTAGGTATAAGCGAGCGTATGGTGACTTGAGTACGGGATATGAAATGGATGGGCTTATGTGAACCAGTGGAGTGTGGATGTGTAGGTGGCTATAGCACAGATGCTTGTGGTTCTGTAGGTAGTGGGTGATATGTGACTGGGCGGTTGGTAATGTATGTATGTATACATACGCCAATGCATGTATTGCAATGTATGATGTTTCAGGTGTGTTGTTTGTTTTCCCAGAGCCGAATGCTGACTTCAAATAAATACTTCACACAAGCCTTTGCACATATCGGCCTTCTACTCCGATAAAATATATATACATACATATATTTTCCTCAGAAATTAATTAAATTAACCGCGCATATGACTTGTCCTTCTACCGCACCAGACTATTTCGATACATTATTCGTTGTTTTACATATACACACCGCCATCAATCCACATACAAAAAGCTGCCTAAAGAAAATGATAGACAGTCGAATTATACACACGAGTATATCTACAAACGCACCACACACACACACACACATATATATATATATATATATATATATACATGTATAGTATCTGTATTCTTGTGCATAT